AATAGTCACCCTTCAATATTGTTAAACAATTAATTAGTGTTTCTGAGGAAAGGGTTTCGTAAACAAAGAAAAAAACGTAGTTCTGCCTCTGTCTTAATTATCACAAATTGCAAGTTAATGGAGCGAATTAATGAGATTTCACGGTGTTCTTTTTTTCCTTGAGTTCTGCAATGGAGCTACTTTACATTCCCATTGCTGAATTTTTGCCTCAACTAGGGTGCTGATGCAGGATTCCTCCACCAGGAGATGCTCTTGCACCAATACTACAGGACAAAAATCTGTGGGTTTCAATGTTTACGTCAAACTGAATGAATCAAGTTGTTTTCAGTTCATCTCTGGTGTTTAGCAACATTGTAAATGGTGTATACATACGGAGGCTTCTCATTAACTTTCTTTTTCCCTAACTTGCTACTTATTCTTTACAGACCAAGAGAGCTATAATTTAACTGCCAGTGTTCACAAGGTATCTGAAGCTTCCAGGAAAACTTTTTTTTTTTTTTTTAAGGTTAATGTTTACATACAATTTCTTTATAATTGGATTTGGGAAATGGAAAAACATCTGCCAATCTTTCTGCTACTGATGAAAGAGATGTGTGAGTTACTTGATGAGCTAAATAGGGAAAAGCAGCAATATTAAGTTTTGTTTTTACCTTTTCTCCTTCGGCCCCATCGCAGAAGCACCGGCCTTTGTCTTTACAGACGCAGCCCTAGGAAGAGGGAAGACAAAGGGTTTTGTTTAAAAAACAGCTTAATGAATCCCAATTGACAGGGCAAAAGCAAACATATTTTTCCGTTCTTTGAGTATTGGATCCTATTTATTAGGAGTCTCAACAGAAACTGCAGAGAATTGAGAAGATGTCGCACACAGGAGAAATGTCAGATGAGTAGACAGCATTTTTATTGTATTTAGGAACTTTAAGTAATTTATTTATGGGAAAGACAAAGTCAGCTATCCTTTTTTCAGAATAGTATATAGTTGAACCATAAGCAATTGCTACTGTTGTAGGTAGAAAGTGGTCAAA